GTGAAGTAGGGCTGGGCGATGTGACAAAAAAAATGATGACGATTTTTTTTTCATATCGTCCGATCTCAATTAAATCACATTTTTTTTGTTAACCTAAAAAGGGATCGAAAAACAATTTAACAAATAAATAGCTACAGAAATTTTTAAAATAATGGCTATTATTTCACTTTCACTAATATATCTGGTGTTCAGTAGAACATTAAATTATTTTTGCAAGGTATTAAAAAAGGTATTTTCCAAGAAAAAAAAAAACATTTATGTGTAAATCATAGAATCTCACATTAATAAAGAAATCCTTTTGTAAAATCAAAGTCAAATTGAATTTCACATTAAATATGCCATAAAGAAACATAAACCCTACAAACAGCAACAATTTGTGCACACTTGCCAACTGAATAGGATCTAAGCTCATTACTTTTGTTCAGGAGTTTACAGCGTCTCTCAGCTGCTGTTTGTGGTGAGACTCAGACAGGAAGTGGTCTTCACATCTCGTCCAGCTCATCGTGTGCGATAAAACTTACAGAAAAGTTCTTCTCCAGATAAATGAAGAGCCGCTGGGACATTGTTCTGTCCTAAACATTACCCTAAGACTGCTTCATATTTTTGGAGGACGTTTTTGTTTTAGTGATCCGCTGCCCCGTGTCGGGAGTGGAGCTCAGAGCTCACCCTGTTGCACCTCACCCGCCTGTTAGCAGGTAACAGCAGGTACAGGAAGCAACAGCGGCCAAAATACCTCAGAAACTCGCCCAAACAAGCTAACTCTGTGAGATTCAGCGTTTTATACTGGATTACTTTGGTTAATTCTGCGATTCCGTCTGCGTTTCATTAACAGCTCATAAACAGAAGTGGAGCAGGAGAAGGTGGATTCTGATTGGCTRTTGTCACGCACATTTCTGCCATGTTTGATCGAGTAAGAGGCTCACAGCTGATCACCGTGATCGACCTGAATTTTTTTCTCGATCAATAATCGCGATCAAATAATCGCCCAGCCCTAGTGTGAAGATCAACTCCATTACACTTATCCAGAAATGACTGTAATATTAATACAACAATAAAACGTTGATCTTAACTCTAAATTGTTAAACTTACACTTTCAAATTTGCTTTGTAATGACACCTCATAGTGTCTGTTTTACACTCCTCTACACAGCAACAGAGTGAATAATCAATACAGTCGAGTGTCAAATTAACACTCATGGGAGTTATATGAACCTCCAGTGTTAACCATCAATAACTCAATGCAGTTGATTTGTCACCACAGTGCAGTACCTTATTAACTCTGCTTAGAATCATAATTACTCTCATCAGAGTTATTTGAAGTGTTAAGTTTTATTAACAGTGTACAGTGTTAGTCAGTGTTATTTTTAACTTAGTTTAGAGTTAAATTGTACTCTGAAAATTAAACACTATGGAAAGAGTTAAATTGACACCAATTCAGAAAAGGACCAAATAGACTCTGACGCTCGTCTGCATGCTCATCGTCCTCATCAGGGTCTCGGCCAGCCGATATTTTTTGCCATTATTTACGTTTTTTCCTTGTATTGGTATCGGCCGATACATTTGTGCATTCGGTTCGGCAATCTCTTTTTTTATTCAGCCATTTGTTCTGGTTAACTGTCTGTTTTAAAGAGAAGAAGTAATTTCTCACCAGAGATGGTGACAAATATTCAAATTTTGACAGAAACATTCAACCTCACAGAGTATTTCCTAAACAGATGCCTGTGTTGTTTTTTTCTGCCTGTTGTTGTACCTGCAGTCTGTTGTTGTGTATTTGGTGTCACTGTTTCAGATGGAAGAAACAAATACAGCAGTTAATAAAACTGTGTTCATCTGTAAGGTGGCCGGAGGGCTCCAGCTGACAGATAAAGATAGTAAAATATATGATTCAAAGCATGAACAGCTCAAAGTGAAGAGCCTTTAGTGAAATTTTAATCCTGACTCTGAAAGTATAAAATAATATGAGTGATTTATCCGCCCACCCTCTCTGAATGAAGACATTTAACTCGTCCCTCAGGGGCTGTAAATGGAGGTGCAGAGGATGATGGGAAATATCACATGGTGTTAGCAGCTCCACATTATGTGGACCTATTGGATGCCTCGCCGTATCCCCCTGCTGCTCTAATTGCTCCCAGAATGCTGTTTGTGTTGGAGCTTTGATGTGTTCGGAGACGGTTATTGGCATATTTGAGCTTTCTACAGCTCATTGCTTCATAACGGCCTCTCAGCAGCAAATATCTGCCGCAGCTCTTTATTAGACAGGAGATTAACAACAGAACTTCAATTTATACTGCTACATCCTACGACAGAGTATTAGGGCCACACAACAAGATTTTATTAATTATTAATACAAGAATAAAGTCATATTATTAAAAGAATAAAGTCATAATATTATGAAATTTAAGTCAAAATATTACAAAGTTAAAGTCATAATATTACAAAATTAAAGTCGTAATATTACGAAATTAAAGTCGTAATATTACAAAATTAAAGTCGTAATATTACAAAATTAAAGTCGTAATGTTATGAGAATAAAGTCATAATATTGTGAGATTAAAGTCATAAAATTATGAGATTAAATTGATTATTGAGAAAGGAGCAGGTTTATACAAGGATTTCTTCTTCCTGCTCCCTTTTCACTCATGTATAGTATGTGTTAAACGAAAATGTGTTTGTATGTTATAATGAGAAAAATTGTTGAATTGAGTGAATAAACTTATTGATTGATTGATTGATTGATTGATATTATGAGATTAAAGTCATAATATTACAAAGTTAAAGTCGTAATATTACAAAGTTAAAGTCGTAAATTACAAAATTAAAGTCGTAATATTATGAGAATAAAGTTGTAAAATTATGAGAATAAAGTCATAATATTAGAGAAAAAGTCATAATCATAATAAGGACATGTCCATTTTCCGTTCCACATTTCCTCCTCATTTTCCTCACACCTGCTGTGTACAGCCATGTGTCTGTCTTTATAAAGTAGTCTGTGATGACCTGGGTCACTGTTAGATTAATATGCTTTCATCCAAATTAGCTACGTGACTAAATCTGTCAATGCATCCATTAATTACAATATAGCTTCAGTTTATCATACAGTTGTTTGCACAATTTCTAAGTCCTGCTACTGATAATTTGATGTTGATGTGCTAAAAGATTAACTATTTATTTTAAGCAATACTAAAGAACAACTTGACAAGTTGATCAACATTCCTCATTTTAATGACTTTCATTTTAGAATATTATGACTTTAATCTTGTAATGTTACGACTTTTTCATACGACTTTAATGTTGTAATATTATGACTTTATTCTCGTAATTAAAGAAAATCTCATTGTGAGGTTCTAATACTCTGTCGTATCATCCAGTATTCGTATCATCCAGTATACAGTAAACTGATGATGATGTTTTACCTGTGTTGGCAAGATATCTCAAACACTGGGCACGTTTTAAAGAAACTTGAAGAAAACAAAGCGTTAATCTAGAACTGATGACCTTTTAGAGAGAACTGGATTCAAGATGGCCGCTGCAGCTTTTGTATGCACAGAAATGACTATAACTCTGGCGTGGTGGTAGCTGAGAGTCATCTCTGACAGGGATTGTGTACAGTGCTGTTTCCTCAACATGTTATGATCTTGGTTAAGCTCTGATGTGGAACAATCATATGCATTCCTGCCAGGGTGTTAGTATGGGGTCAGAAACAGACAGTTCTGTGATTTAATTTGAAGGAGAAGCTTTTAATTTGGCGGACCTGCATTTTCTTCCTTTGTGCTGCTCTCCTGCTCTCAGGTCTCACAGGTAAACATGTTGCTATGCAACAGTCAGGTTGCAGGAAGGAGTGATGCTTTATGTTGATGAGAGGTTGTTCTGCAAAGAGCTCCTCTCTCTCTGACTCACACCCTGTATCGGCTCTAAACTTGATATTTGAAGCTGTAAAAGGTTTGTTCTGTTTTCACCATGAGGAGAACAACCTCAGCCTCTGGACACAGCTCCCCCTGCTGGGGTCTGCACACATCTACAGGTCTAAAATGTTTGTTTTTTTTTGCTCAGCATCACAAATCAGTCAATACATTACATCGGCTCACAACACCTTCTGTTTTATAAATAAAAAGGGACTAAAAAAGGAACTTAAATTGAACCACAAAAGGAGAATTATTTGGCTATGCTGCATAAATTAATGTTATGATGGAGAGGCAAGAGGTGAGCAAAAATCTGTTGTGTGTTTGCTTATCTTTCTGTTWGTAAAACATCTCATGAATCATTATTCAGATTTTTATAGAACTCTGATAAAGTCATCATTAGATCGAGTACATCTACTAATGATTGCCTTTTGGAGCCATTTAAATTAAAGATGGCTGCCACAGCTACCTGACCTTAGCAAAAACAAAACAGACTTGAACTGTTGAGCTGAAATTAGGTGGTAGTATCTGAGAGTCATCCCCAGGTCAGGTTGGAAAAGAGCTGATAGTTGTGTTCATCTCATCCTAAAACTATTCATATCACTAACAGAAATATTTAATTATAACGGAAATAAATGTAACAAAACAATACCTGAAAGATAAATCAAACAACTGTTGCTAAAAACTAAAATTAACAAACTGTAGCTAAAAGCTAAAATTAGCAGAAGAGAAACTAAAAGCAAAAAGTAATGCAGTGTTAGCTTAAAACCAAAATGGGGAAAACATAGCTAAAGCTATAAGCTACCAGAAGTAACAAAATTGTAACTAAAAGCAAAAATGAGCAAAAATGTGGTTGAAGCTAAAAACATAGCTGAATGCTAAAAATACCAAAATTGTAGCCAAAAGCAAAAATTTGCAAAAATGTAGCTAAAGTGAAAAAGAATAGCTGAATGCTAAAAGGAGAAAAAATGTTGTTAAAAGCAGAAACTTGCAAAAAAAAATATAGCTAAAGCTAAAAACAGCTAAAAGTTGCAGAATTATAGCTAAAAGCAAAAATTAGCAAAACAATAGCTAAAAGTGGCAAAATGGTAGCTCAAATCTAAAAGTAGCAAAAATTTAGCTAAAGCAGCATTAGAGTAAAAACAGAGGCAGTTTGCTGAAGCCGATTGAAAAGAGAACAATATTTTAAAAGAATCAAAGGGTTCTGAATTTGATTTAAAATAAAGTTATATGTTTAGAAAAGTAACAAAAACAAATTTCAGGACACACCTTTTAAAGTCGAGTTGAATGTTTAGACATTTGAACAATAAAAATAGTACCAAGTATTCAGACGTAGTTTTCTTTCCCTGAGTACAGTATAAATTATGAACATAAAATCAAAGCTCTATCAGACAGGAGTGTGTAGTGACTGCTGTGTGTCCTGGTCCCTGTGTGTCTCAGGTCCCCTCCCTCATCCCCGTCCTGCTCTTCAGGCTGTCTCAGGAGAAGGACCCAGGTCTGTGTCACTCAGTGCTCAGCTGCCTGCCGAGCCTCGGGACTCATAAGGTTTGTCACAACGTTTGATCCAACTCTTGTGGAGCCGTCATGTTACATCAGCCCAACATTTGTTCTGCTGTTTCAGCTCTGTGTTCCTGCCGTGCTGCAGACTCTCCACATGCTGGCTGCTGCCCCCAAGCTGAGAGCTGTTGTAATGCGTCTCATGACTGCTCTCTGGAAAAAACAGGTTCGTGTAAAACAACCAAACAAACAAAAAGAGCAGTTATTAACGGAAAGTTATATTTTCAGAACTTTTTTCAAAACGTGTCTTTTATTCATGTTGAAAGGACCGAGTGTACCCGGAGCTGCAGCGTCTGCTGGGCCAGGCGGACAGAAGTGGGGTGGTGGGAAGAGATACCCAGTGGGAGCTGATCCTGGCCCGGGCTGCCTGTCTCAGAGACATCTGCAGAGAGAGGTCCAAACACACAAAAACACTTCTCTGAGCAGGGGCGGTCTTTATACTGCTGGTTTACCTGCTGACCTATCTCCTGCCTCCCAAAATGCAAATTTGGAGGCTTTGCCAAACTCGAAAACTCACCAAACTTTACCCAAAATTGTCCCCTGGCGAATATTGCATGATTCTATTTGAATTTTTAATGGGCGTGGCCAAATGACTCGACAGCGCCACCTAACGTAAGATAGAGGAACTGGTAAGTCCTAGAAAGTTGAAATTTTGCACATAGGTAGATCTCCCCAATTCAAGAAAAAAAAAAGTCTCTTGGAGGTATGCCCTAAAACCAACAGAAAGTTGGTCATTTTGGGTCAAAGGTCAAATTTTGGCCGCCTTCGCAGTGCTCTTCGCTGCTCGGGCCTAATTAAAGCTGCAAGCAGCGTTAGCGGCCCTCGCAGCTTGAGCGCCGCTTCGGCCATGTGGCAACTACGGGAGAGCTTGCATTACCCCAATTTGTCATTGYACCACAGAAAACAGGCTAAAACTGAGAAAAACCATAACCGATTGGAAGGATACCCCTCAAAAGATGCTAAAACTGGAAAAAACACAACCGATTGGTTGGAAATCCCTCAAAAGCAGCTAAAACCGGAAAAACCATAATCGATAGGTAGCAAACCGCTCTAAAATGAAAAAAAAAAAAACTGTTCAGACATGGGGGATTAAAAGTTATCAAAACTGTGAGTTTTTGAGCATGTTAAGGGGGCGTGGCCAGGCCTCCAATATGACCTTCATGCCAACATTTTCAAAATGCTAAAACTTTCGCATCGAAAGTCTGAATTACACCAAACTCACTGTGAGCCATCCCTAGCRGATGCCCGACGATACTATATGGTCTTATGCTGACATCATTGTAGCCCCGCCCTATGAGGACAGGAAGTGACCTTTTTTGGCTTGGAATGGTCCATCTCTGAGTTTGGTGTAATTCAGACACGTTATGTGAAAGTTATAGCGTTTTGAAAATGTTGGCGTGAAGGTAATTTTTGAGGCCTGGCCACGCCCCCTGTGGATGCCCGATCCGTACCGGAAGCATGATCCGTGCTGTCCCGGAAACATTGTTTTTAGCATGTAGCATTTTGCTAAACCGATGACAGAATTCATTCGATTTCAGTCTTTCATCACCTGCAATGTTTCATAGAAAAGGCAATGTTTGCAACAGCTGTGGATTTTTATTCCAGGAAGAAAATAAAACGAAGATAAGATCATTAGCATAACATAATTGTCTAGAAAATAGTTAGCAAGTTATTATAAATAAATATGAACGCATCGTAAATCTATATTTTATTAATTAAAATTTTATTCCGTATCAAAACTGTTTTCAGAATATAATGTAACACACCTTTATAATCAAGTATAGAAATAAATTTTTAAGTATTTTTTCCTAAATCCAGCACGTTCCAGAAGTCTATCATTTAACGCATGCACAAATGAGCTGACAGTACAGATGGTGCTAACGGGACGGATCGGGCAGCCACACTCACAATGTTATTTATATCAGGAAGTGACCGCTGGCTGCATAGGATGTGCTACAGCTTGCTATTTCTGCTGCTTTGGATGACAAAATAATTGTATCGAAAAACTGATGATGATGCAAAGATTTTTAAAATGTTTGCATCTATCGTAAAATATTGAGGGCTGAATTTGTTTTAAGAAGGCAACAAACCACTTTAGTCCTTTTTTATATTTTCATGTCTATAAACCCTATAAACCAGCTGCTGACCAACAATTAGATCCATCCATCCATCATCCATCCATCCATCCATCCATCCATCCATCCATCCATCCATCCATACTGAATCCAAATATTTGGACTAAAAAGTTCACAATCAAATGTCAAAACCCTTATTAATCACAAGCTACTGACCAACAACTAACATAGAAGCTTCTTTCGTCAGCTAATACATACATACAGAAACATATTCTTCATGTTCAGATAAAAAGAGGTGAAAACTTGCAGCTTTACTGCAAAGTTTCCATTACAGGATGACAAGTTTTCAATGAGACTTTTTAATATCAGGTGTTCAGTGCTGTAATGTTTCTGTGTTTCAGGCCCTACCAGCACGGGGCTGACATGTTGGCAGCCATTTCTCTGACTCTGAAGCAGAACGAGCGACCAGACCTGGCTACTCCCGCTGCTCTCGCCCTACAGGGTTTGCATGAGCTGTGCAGAGCTGAGGTACCACATCCTAACCCTTGACTTACTGAGCTCTTACAGCTGTACGTCATCAGAACATGCAGTCAGTCCTACAGGGTCCAGGTCTGAACACCAGGATGTGGTTTGAACGWTTCGCAGGTAGTGGACATGATTTCAACATGGAAAAGCCTTGGACCTGAGCTGAGCCGAGACTCCCGTCCGCTGATGATTAAAGCCATAGCTGAGCTTCTGTCTCTGGTTCCCCAGCTTGCTGTAAAGTCCGAGCAGTATGAGGTACTTCATCTAATTTATTACCTCTTTTAACAGACTCTTTAGTGCACTGTCATTGGGTTATAGGAACAATAATAAACTATTTTACCTGTTGTATATAGCTCTTTGTTTGAGCTCAGCTTGGAGAAAAGAATTATCTCTGACAAGAATAATGAAAATATTTGAATTTATGTATAAAACACTGGATCCATACATTTGGTTTAAAGGTTAGATGTGTGTTTATTGGTCCATATAGACCAGGGGTGTCAAACTCCTGTCCTCGAGGGCCGCTATCCTGCATGTTTTAGAGGTTTTCTTGCTCCAACACACCAGATTTTGATCGCTGGGTAATTAACAGGCTTCTGCCCAATTTGAAGAGTTAATTCAATCACTGAATCAGCTGTGTTGGAGCTGGAAAACCTCTAAAACATGCAGGATAGCGGCCCTCGAGGACTGGAGTTTGACACCCCTGAGGCTTTGTCCATACAGAAATGCAGTATTCCCTAAACAGTCTTATTTTTTGTTTCTTAAAAATGCATTTATATACAGAAGACATTAAAAAAGACCTAAAACTGTAGCACTTATCCAGGCCTGTAAGTGGCGCTGTCTTTCCTCAGTAGAAATACATCAAAGTGAAGAAGCAAGGAGTGAAGCATGAATCCTGGCTCCAAAATATAAAAGAGGATGACCTCGGGTCATAGGTGAGGTTAAACGCAGGGCTGGTTCTCAAATGTTTATTTTGGTCATTTACACAAATAAATGTGACATGTCAAGATTGTTTTTAAAACTTGTTTACGTGTCGATGTATTGCTGAAATAATAAAAAGGTCAACATTTCACAGCAACTAAACCTAGTTAAACCTTTTACCACCATCAAGTTTCCACAAATATTCCTGCAGAAATATTCGGACATTTCTCCTGGAGTATTTGAGTGCTACAGTCAGCTGCTGCTGCTGTTAGTGTGTGAAGGTAGTAGGGATGCACTAGCCTGGGAAAAACCAGACCCTTGTCCTTCACTTTGCTTCGTACAAGGGTCTGAACTCACGGCTATAGAGAAGCGTTTCTTGCAGGAGGCGTGGCCTCTGCTGAAGTTTAAAATGATTGGATCAGTTGGCTGCGATGTATGTCGCTGTGAAAGAGGCTAGGCTAAGAAGCTAACGAGAAATTGCGTGTGCTTTAAAAAAAACCCTACTGAAAGGAGAAATGTACTGACCCGAACGAGACGACTAAATGAGAGCTGCTGCTGCTTTGTCAGACAAATTTAATTTAATTTGGAAGCCTTATCAACACAGACTGGCTTCATTCACTTCCTCCACTGCCGTATGCTAAAATAACTAGCAGACACTGCGCAGAAAATCAACGTTCTGTTCACTGATT